CTAATCAAACGTCAACTTAATTTTTTTTTTATTTACCTGTATTTTATTGAACGCAACTCCCACTATCTTTCCACTCTCCACGTGCTTGACTACCAGCGACACACCGTCATATGCTGCTTTGCGGCATAGTTCGCGAAGTTCGGCACGCGCTTGCGCATTTTCCGGCAGATTGATTTCGCAGGCTATGCAAATGGACTCGTGCAAAAAGAATGATTTATCTAGTACCTGAATAAGTTAACAGAAAATAATATATATCATTTACGGTAAAACAATTTAAAATTCTTTTTGAGTGCATTTTTCTCGACACAGACAAATTTTGGGAAGTTGTAGTTATTGTAACGGGTACCTAATCGCCTTTAGGATGATAACGATTACTTAAGCATTCAACGATAAAAAAAAAAATCCCACAACCCACCGAAATTGCCCAGGATTTTTTTATTCAAAAATAATCGAATCCTTCTGGTTCAGTTTATACCCATGCATTGGCTAAGTAAATAGGCTGATATTCGTGAGACCACGATTAATCCAACTTGGAGTGCTAGAGAGGCTTGTCYGTCATAMTGTCYCGAACYCTAARGAATGAATCAAAAAGACTGTTGCATATCGACAAAGCACATAAAGCCTGTCGTAAATTGATTGAGGTGGTTAATATCAATAGCAGCTAATTCGTCGAGTTCCTAGAAAGTATGGCAACAAAGATACTTAAACTCGGGCGAAAACTGGATAATGAAGGCTGTCTCTTATACACATCTAGATGTGTATAAGAGACAGATTATATATCGCATATCAAAATTCCCATTAACTCCAGGTACCATAATGGCTGATTTCATATTTTCTTATAAAATCAACATTTCGCAGAAGAAGTTAGTATTACCAAGACCTAAAAAAGCATGCTACTCTTAATACCGAAATTCAATACCAGAAAAGGGGCCAATGGACGCACAACTTTGTTTTTAGCCGCATACTGATTTCCAACGCTTAAATTTTAGTATGATTTATTTTARCAGACAACTCATATAATATTATATATTCACATATTTTTACTTATGAGAATATGCCATGTTCGTTCCCGCCAAAATTTATCGCTTTCTTATTTTATTTTTTTGCTGTCGGCCTATAGCAACTGATAACATGCACACTTAGCTCTGGTAAATCTAGTAAAGCGATTTGATTAGAATAGAGTTTGTAATCCTAAAAGTACGAGGTGTGTTTGAAAAGTATCGTGAACTTTCGATTTCTAAGGAAGTGTTTATTTATTCATAAAAACCTATTTTGAGCCCTTCAAAATAATCACACCAAGATATATTGCACTTCTGCTATGGTTTTTTTCAAATCCTCAAAGCGCTTATAGAAAAAATTTTTGTGATCTTATTGTTATATGTATGTTATATGATGTTTTCATCTTCTCGTCACTGTGAGAACATTTTGTACCACCGGTAAACGKTGCTTTTGTTCGAGGTAGCTTCATCGTATAACACATTCAACATTCAAAATGCGTCCGCGCACTTAATTTTGTTGTTCACACAATATTTCATACACATTCTTTGATCTATTTTTTGGCATGAGCAAAAATCAGAGACGAACCAAAACACTCGCAAGCCAAATACGAGTACATAGCTGTCAAATTAATTAAACATTCAAAATCGCCGATCTTGTCAGCAAAAGTAAGGAATATGAGTACCAACATAACACAACAAGCCAATCGAAAACCGATACACTTTTCGCACAAACCTCGTAGGCTAGTATGTAAATTATGAATCAATGTAAAATAACACCAATAAATCACCTCTAAAGCTTCYTCCAAATCCGATTCAGTTAAACTTCTCACTTCGAATTCATCTAAAAGTCCAAATAAAAAAGTGATTAAAAATAAAAACGTTTCCGATTTGCAAAATTCACATTCAATACTTGCCGTTATTAAATTTACCCCAYATGCGACCATTATTGGCTCTCATCCTGTGATATTTCGTATAGAAACAGTACAGAGACTGAAAATCTAAAACCAAATTTATTATTTAAATAATATTAACTATACTATAAAGTCTACTTAACATGATAATAATAAGCGTAATAAGGAAGTGCTCAATTGTAAAAAAAAAAACATCTTCAACCTGCTCTTCTCTTCGTTAGAATAATATTACAGCCGACAGGTGTGAGAACACTGTTTGTGCAATAAAAGAGAAATTTATAACCGCATCACTTTTTAAATCGCTGTTACAACATATTCAGCACTCTGTATAGCAATTGTAATCAATTAGTAACTGTATATGAGTGAAAAAAATTATGAGAGTKTTGAATCGAACAGATAACCGATATAAATCAAACATGCACACAATCAATTGGAGCCACTTCATAAGGAAGCTAAGTGCTCGMTTGTGTTGTAAACAACTGTAAAAGTATGTTAAAGTAGCTACACATGTGACTTGAACTTGACTTTGGAAGCAACGATAAGCCTCTTTTACGTTATTCGTTATTCACCAAACAGAACAGTGGCCCATCTGCGAAATAGCAGCGCTTGTAGGCAGAAAGTCTGTGTACATTTCGGTAGCGATCATCTGTAGTCGTTTATAAATAAAATTTTAAATTGTTTTCTTTTTTTTTTCATTTAACTCACTTCACGAAAATTTGATAACGAAAATCATATTTGAGCACAGCGTATAAGTGAGCATTACATATTATATTTACTCGCTACACGCAAACTTTTATTTACAACTGACTCAAAAATTATTAAATGACCTCTCATTTACCGTTATTTTAACTGTGTAAACCACTTTGTATTCGAAAATAAAAGATGTTGAAGTGTATTTTGCTATTTTTCTTTAATACTAGCTCCAACACACTTAASTGTAACCGTTATTGCAGTACGACAGCACGCGACTAAAATCTCTGCTTTGAGCGCAAGTATATGTAGTTTAGCTTGTTCTGCCAGCAGCTTTGCGTTTTTATCAACTGCATTATCTAATCGTGTATGTAATAATATAGTACATAGTAATAGTTAGAATAAGCATACATACATATGTGAGTGAAATTTCTATCGATTTGCACACCTGGACACACATAAATATATAAAGCGGTAATTGCATATTCAAAAGCACACAGTTTTGTTTGTACAAATTACACTATTATTTCACATTAAATCATTATTGCTAATTTCAAAAAAAAAAAAATATCGTACGTAGGCGTTAGCAAAATTTATAGAATAATCATACAAATAATAGTTCATGCGTACCAACAAGTGCTTTAATAAAATGTTCAAAATTGGAATTTTAGTGCGAAATTATATGCGAGCACATATTTGCATTTTTCCAACATTAATCTTCCCCGACAACTTAGACATGTATGGTATAATGAACATATTTAAGTAGTTGCCCGCTTATATATCCATCGTCATAGTACCGAGCTGATTTTATGTGAGAATATAAATATTGATAAATACATTGCACAAACCATACCTTGTCAAATTCCTGCTGGGAAGTTAAGAAAGTTTTTACAGATGACACTCCCATAATATAGTGCGTGTAATCGAAATCGTATGTGTCATTATTAAACATTTGCCTTAGTCAATTGATCTATTATGACCAATAATAAATTGGGTATAATTAAACTATTATTATGTTGATGTTAAAATTTTTACATTGTTTATACATTGATAGCTATATGACGATCATATATTGTGCAAACTTAATTAATGACTGTAACTTTCTTGACAAAAGAATTACGAGTTGTGAATATTTGAAAGACCGTTGCGGCTTTTCACGTTTTAAGCGTTTACGTGGGTTTACGGGTTWAAAAAAAAACGATATTTTTTATTGTCTTATTAAATTCTATAACACCTCTAGAATATTGRCYTACATTTTCAAGTTGATCCGAGTAATATTTTCGGAGATATAGCCTTGAAAACTTGTGCGCTCGAGGCTAGCCAGGCTAAATGCGCCGTCTTAAACGCGTTTTTCTTTAAACTGTATTTTTGAAGTCGGTTCGCTAGACTGCTCGAGAACTACTCAACCAATCTTCATGAAATTTTACACAGGTCTTTGATATATAATTTTTAAAGTCTCGGAGGAAGGTTTTTTCTCGATTACAATTATTTGAAAAAAAGGAAAAAGTCGCGAAAAGTTCACTACATTATTATTATTATTTTTTCTTTTTTTTGTAGAAAGTCAGTCAAAAATCCAGCTTTCAAATTTTTTTCCTTCCTCCAAGTTCTAAGTTAAGATTTTAACCAAAACACGTATTTTTTCACCTTAGTTGATCCTGTAAGGAGTTATCTTGCCAAAGCGAGCGCATATTTTTTTTTGAGAGATCACCGGAAATGGCATCGCAATGGCCTGCTGGGTAGTTAAGAAGTTTTTCAGATGACACTCCTATGGAATGGCGCGTGTAATCATACTCTTGTGGGCCATTATTAGATATTTGCCTTAGTCAAGTGATCTATTAGAGTAAATATAGTAATAAATTGAGTATTATTAAAGAATTGTTACGTTTATGTTCAAATTTTGTTTATATATTGATAGCTATATGATGATCATATATTGTACAAATTTAATTAATGACTGTAACTTTATTGACAAAAGAATTATGAATAGACTATTGCGTCCTTTCACGTTTTAACTTCGATTCCCCTAACTGCAGTGGTCTCGCATAACCGCCGATCAATATCCGCCGTGAAATGGTGCGTCCCTGTTTCTTTCATTATTGYATATTCACGCAAAAACTCGGATAGTAGTTATTTTGACCCATCTTAACATAGCAAACATCCAAAATCTGTTAAAAGTAAACCGCTAACTCATTAGGCCACTTTTCGGCATCAGKAGGATTATTTTTATGAGCATAGCGTGCCATTAACTCACGAAATAAATTTTGATCCATGCCATCCAAATCATGCGACAGTCGAACTTTCATTTCAACAATTGGAAACTTTACAGCTTACGTCATACATTATACGTCAATTTAAAAGGTTGGACCTTTCTACAAAGCATGTGGACTCAATTATAGTGGAGTCTGATCAAAAAATCGATACGAAAATATATGGCGCCGAAGCAAGATAAGTAATATGATACGGCTCTCTGAAAAAAAAAAAAAAAAAAAAATCAATTGAAAACTTCTATTATCTAGGAACTATTGTATGGACCGCGTGTCAAAATTAACTAAACTGAATCTTTCGAATAGAACTAAACGCCACAACTCTGAAAGTTTATATTCCGTTATTATCTACTATCTAAGAAAAATATCACTTCTACGTTGGTAAATCAAAAGGACAAATAAATCGGATATAAACAGAGGTCTACAGAGTTCTAGATTCTATAATACAAAATGTATAGGGTATGTTCAGAAAGAAATACGAATGATTTTCTTCCGCCGCAAATGTATTTCGGGGCGTGCGTGCACCGGCTGGTTTCGGTAGAGSACGTTCCTAGATAACGAACAAGCGGCAGGTCGGTTGTCTCTAAGCACCTGTAGAATCAGGACAAATATTTTCGCGCAACGTGTTTCTGTGAGTGGTGCAGCGTTTGTTATAGCACAGGTACGCGACAGAGACCAAGCAGACTTACCCAGATTTTGCTTTAGCAAGAAGACGTGTGTTTCGATGACACCAGAGGTCTTTTTGGAGGGGCGGGAAGAGGTCGCTGATGAGGACCGTGCTGGGAGGCCAGCRACTTCGAGAAACACCGACAATGTGACTTGTGTGCGCAAAGWTTTGAACTCARACCGTCRMCYAAAARTTTKTATCAMAWATTTTCTCTTGCATAGAGAAGTAGTTCCTTAGCCYTTAGRKTTCACGAATATTCTATTAATTGAGGTTTTTGCATACCAAAAAGTTGTATGCGTCATCTATCAAATTGGATCATAGCTTTCTGGTTGTCGGGATGATGTTTGTGGACTTTTAGTACGCTAGTTGCGGAATTTGATAAAGAAAATTTCCTTCTTAGCTGTTTTAGGAGATGTAGTTGTTGGAGAAGTTTATTCTGAGACGACTCTGTCGTCAGATCTCTTTATGACCGCTTATGACTACACAAAATATATAGTATATTATATAAGACAACTAATTTCTAATTGAAAAGTATTCCAGTATCCCTGTCGCTAAAATTAAAATAGTAAAGGCCGGCGACTCCCACATAATATTAATTGTAATCTAATTACATTTGCTGTAATCAAAGGTAAACATATGTACATTCTAGGCGAGCTTAATACATTTTATTTAAGACAATGTACCGGGACTTACATCGAAACTTGCTTGCGCGCTATTACCGAGTAAATTGACGCGTGACTCAAATTAYTTTGTCTCCGATGCATGTGATACATTAATCGTTATATGTAAAATAAGGCTATTATAGTCAGAATTCGTTTAAGAAAAGTACCTTTTTTTATAAAAGTTCGTGTACTGTGTATTAATATTAAAATAAGTTTTAACAAATTATTAAGAAAAATAAACTGAACCACGACATGACAGCTTTCAAAGAGTGTCTATGCAAATTATAAATTATCGCAAATTAAAAACAAATTCTAAACATGACTTTCGATCATCTTTAGTAATATTCTCATTATCTCACTAATACCGTATCGAATTCGTGTTCTATTAATATATTATATACTCGAATTGTCTTGTGACTATTTCTGAGTTCAAATTTGATCATTTTTTTCTCTATAATCAGCGAAAGCTGTTATTAGCAGATTAGAAGATCTCCTTCGTTGACCACCATTAGTCCCAACCTACAAACAATTGTATTTTAATTAAGTATGTATATTAAAGAATTTTAGGAGTAAGCCGGTGAGATGAGCTTTATGAATCATGCGAGTAGGAAACAATATCAAACTAGTAAGGTAAGATTAAGTWCGGATGCCACCAAATATTTTATACWTATAAGTTAGGTCAACAAAGTGTTATACTTTATACTACATGTTGCTAGGGTATGTTGAATTGTAAGCTAAAATGGCATGATTATAATTGTTGTGATAGTACGTTAATCTGGCATCACTGAAATGTCAGTTTGTAGTTTCAAATTCAAATGCATCCTGATTTATATCAGCACAGTTCAAAATTTATCTAAGAGTTCAAAATAAACCAACAATCACACAACAGTGCGTTCGCTAATTTAATACTCAATACAAACTCTGCAACACTTGGTTATGAGCCTAGCAGCGCCTAGTGTAATAATTTCAAATAAAAGGAACAAAAAATCTTGCATGAATCTATTTAATACTCGGTAAGTGAAAAAAAAAATCGAACCATCATTGTGTTAATAGTACAACTTCCGTTCAAATAGTAGTGGTCATTGCTTTGTTGAAAGACCCAAAGTAGCAGTATTTCTTCAAAGGCATAGGATAACATAACTTCTTCCATAATTCAAACATACACTTTACGATCTATTGTTTTCTTAACCCAATACAATCGGTCTAACTCCATAAAATGGAATAAATGCACCAATCATAATAGTGGACACATCATGTTTAATCGTTTTGGTAGAGTATTTTGGATTATACTCTGAGTTGGTTGGTCGCCTTACGTATTGACGAGATCCCCTGGCCCAGTATAGCACGATTTTGGATTCATCTGTCCATAAAATATCTCTCCTTTTCGCTAGGGGGCGAGCCACATGTTTTTGATAACAGGGGCACTTCTACACCACAATCTCGCAAACATCAACGAACTGTTTCTACACTTGCCTCCACACTCAGTCCTTCTTTAATTTTCGTTGCAGGTGTAAAGGGATTCTGCTTTGAGAATCTYACTAGCCGCTTAGCTTCCTTGTCAGTTATTGTCGGACAATGGTCACGTGTTTCAGAATTCGGTTTGTATTTTAAAGCATTTCGAATCATCGTCGGTGAACAACTTCCTTATACCTTTTACCWTTTGAAATATTTCACTGTAACTATATAACAGTATACAAAAAAGGCAACATAAAAAATTATAAACACTATTTGCCACCGTAGCTAATAGTATTGCTTTGACTGCAACTGTAAGGGCGCGAAAGAAAAATAGCGCTTGGAAAAATGAGTGTAAATCTCCAAATCGAGAAACTGGCGGAAAACAACTATGACTTATGGTCTTTGTATGTGCGAAGTGTTCTCATAACAGCAGATCTATGGAACGTCGTATATGAAAAATATGTAAAGACAGAAAGAAATGAAACTGTTGACCAAAAAGCGTTAGCATGTTTAATTTTAAAYATTACACCAACGCAGTTGATGTACATAAAGTCCTGCACAACCGCTGCAGAGGCATGGAAAAAGTTGCRGGACATTCATTTACCAGTAGTTTCAGTTAAGAAGGTACAGCACAATCAAAAACTATTACGTTTAAACATGCAGCATGGCAAAAATGTAGTTGACTATGTGAATGAGCTTTTCGCAACAGTCGACAAATTAGCCGAATTAGAAATTCAAGTCGGGGACGAGCTACAAGTGGTAATGTTGCTTCAGGCTTTCCCGATTAGTGGGAAAATTTCATTGTCGCAATTGAAACGTAGGACAAACTACATCACATCCATACAGTCAAAGCACGCAGAATGCACGCAAATGGTTTACGCAAAAGATGCTAATCATTATCAAATACCATCCCGAGAAGCTCCTAGAAGTGCTAAAACGCTACCAGAGACCACTTACAAGATCGAAACAGGAAAATCAACAGTTTGCCACTAATATTAAAGAGAAAGATAATAATTTCAATTATAAGTCTCTTATTGGAGACATTATTACACAACTGAATGAGTTGACGACTGAGAGTAAATTCAAATACACATATGTATGTTGCTGGTAAGCCACCAATTGACATCAATAAAATTGAAAAAGAAGCGATTAACCAGCCATCACTTACTAACATCCCACGTCSTGCTGAAGTCAGAACTACTGATGGGTATTGAATAAAATTGCTAAATGGTGTGCCATACATTCAATGAACCGAAAGTTTTACGACTATATCAAGTAGATATTGATGAAAACTTGTCAAATCAATTTTGTTTACATAACCCAGAGCTTTCCTTTGGCGAAYATATTAAAGGTTTAGTCAAGCAGACAGAAAAAGGAAAAATAGTATTCAGGGCCTTTTATTTTGATGAGCAGTGATTACTCATACACCTATTTGTGACACAAGAAGTATTAAATTACATTGCATGCAACATATAATTTCAACAAAGTATAAATATCCGTTAATAAATGTWCCAATGTATCCTGGATATTAACTATCAGTTGTATAACTTGTAACTACCCAAGACCCCTGGAGATTCGTTACACATAATTTATATACATATCTAGCCAATTATACAATAATAAATCACTTATTATCTGAACTATCGTATGGCAACGCCGTCATCAAGCTGATTTTGACATTTGAATGTCTTTATTTACATTTGCACTGTATACAAAAATAAATCATAATCACATCACATCTTAAAATCGCACAGAAATCGACAGAGAAATAAAAGTAAGGCCCTGAAAGCTACCAACTCATAGTAATAATTATAAATTTACATACGTGGCTCCAGTGCAAATACCATACAAGAAAGGCAAAGTAAGCAGCGCGATATCATCTTGAATATACATAAGTAATCGCTATATCAATAGCAAGTTTCCATGACAGCAGAGCCATAACACTGACGTAGTTTTTTTTTATAACAAAACAGCAAGCAAATTCACAAATAGATACACAACACCTACGCTTACGACATAAAAATGTTTTTGTTCGACTGGGTGCTGCAACGTATTTTGCCAGTGATCTTCCTTTATCTAAGGCCGTTTATTAAATGGTTTTTGCACACATTCACTAGACTATGTGAGCTGCAACGCATTGTATATGGTGCACAAGCAGGTGCAAGTCGTACTCGTCAAGTCGAACGGTCGTTAATGCTATCACAAAATGTCGATATACAGCAATTACTGCTCGAATTGGATACTGCGGTAGAGACATGTAGTGAAGATGAACTACGCCAATTACCTGTACGCGCTGTTAGTGTGGTACAACGCGTAAAGCGTATAAAATCAAAAATYCATCCTGACTTTGCGCCCCTCTTTGGCACTTGTGTACTGCACATATGGAGTTATCGACAACTGCTACATCAGGTAGAACGGTTACGTGCAGAGCCATACGATGCAAATAACTTGAATCACGAACAGAAGTTATTAGAATTATGGAACCGTTTGATGCCAGAAGAACCACTGGAAGGACGCATCACAAAGCAATGGCAGGATATTGGCTTTCAGGTATGTAAATATATKTTTATAAACTGAACAYAAAATGCAASTAAATRTACTATACATATATATATGTATAATCACAGGGTGACGATCCAAAAACGGACTTTCGCGGTATGGGTATACTTGGTTTGGAAAATCTTCTCTTCTTCTCACGCGAATACCGTGACGCAGCACATCACGTCCTGTTACATTCGAAACATCCTGTATATGGTTATACATTCGCCATAGTGGGTATTAATCTCACCGCGATGGCATATCGCTTGCTCAAGTCTGGCGATGCTAAAGTACATTTCTATAATGTGGCGAATTCACTTAATCAGGCCTGTTCGCTTACACATTTTCATAAATTTTATTGCTATTTACTTTTCGAATTCGACCGGTTCTGGTTAGAATCGGAACCAACGAATATAATGGATTTCCGTGAAATATATCAACGCTTTGAAATATTAATCATGGAAGCTTTACATAATGACAAAACACTATTCAAAACGAATCTCGTAGTGGAGGATGTTTAAAAAGTGAGACAACAACGTTTTAGCTAATAACTATATAAAATCTACACTGTACAATTTAAAAGAATGTATGTAAAATTAAGTAATATTCTAGCACTATTAATTAAATATAATTGAATAAATGTTTAGATGCATTATTATGCAGCTTTTCACTCTTGTGGATTTATCAAAATACTATTTTATACTTAATGACAGAAAAGCAATTTCTTTTGCCTTTCTATTGATTATCATCAAAAACATAATTAACAAACTGTTAAAATATCTTTACCATATAAGAAAAGATTTACAAAGTGTGTTTCAATTTCTAAAGCTGCCAAAAAATTTAGTCAATTAAAAATTGTATTCCTTAAAACACTAGTCGTTTTTTTTTTTTTGTTTTTTTTGCTATTTAGCTTTATTTCAATTGCAATCGTTATTATTCACCATATTAGTGCGGAGCGCAGCGATAAATAAATTCAATAAATCTAAATATTTGTATGAGCTTCATTGTGTTATCGATTTATATGTATAAAGTATTTTTTATTCATAATCGTATCCATGCAATTATGTGTTTATATGTGTATGCGTGTAAATCTAGGTATGTATGKATGTAAATGCATATGGAATTTAAATATCGCGTTTCCATAAATGTTATGTTCACTGTTACACAAAATTTTCCCTTCAATTATAATTGAGCTTAATCATAGCATGCATTGCAATTTTTATATCCTCCCGCTATACTTCGTCAAAAAAGTTTCGTAGCAAGYTTATCGTGCAGAGTGTTAAGTGCCTCGTTATTCTTATAAATACACATTTATATGAATAAAATGGAATAATACTTATCGAATGAATGTATGCAAGCATTTTTKTTTTTTTTTTTTTTTGCATATAATCACAAAATTAATTATATTCAAATTATATGCAATAAAACTATAATTTTAACATAAGAAGTCGCGGCTTTTACAGTATTGTTTTTAAGAGATTCAACCTTAAAACAATAGTCAAAGAAATCGTTAATATATATCTTATTACATCAATAATATACTTATATATACGTGTTTAATAAACTAGTCATTGAAAATCACAAATTTCAGCTTAAAATTATGACGAAAAAAAAATATCGTAAAAAAGAAATAAATTAAATTCGTATAAAAATTACAAAAAAAAAAAAATATCACTTAAGAAATCCATATTCGTTAAAACAGAAAGCCCGTTATCCCAAAAGGCTAGTCAATGTCTTCAGCTTATATTTTACGAAATACTATGAATGTTTATGTTTGCTCTTCTTGCTCTCCGCGAAATCCTAAGTTATACCACTTAACGATAAAACTTCACCTCAGCTTCCACACAGTCTTTCATTAATTCATCCAACTCCTCGTCAGCAGTTGGATGYTCCGCTAAATATGCATTTAATTCTTCAACACAAGCAGCCTCAAGAGCTTTCAAATCTTCTACAGCATTCGGTTTGCGTTGAGCATGAAGCTTGTGCAAGAGTGTTTGTGTGTTATCAGGTGGCACTTTGGTGAGTGGTGAAATTTTGGGATTRGGTGCAAAGACGAATGGTTTAAAGACTGATTCACTTGCGTTAGGTGTCGCCGTAAACCAATGACATGAAATTCCATTTGTAAGCACAGAGACACTGGCTGAACGTGACGTTGCGCTATCGGCCGCCGAACGTAGTGTATCAAACATGCTGGTCAAAGTGTAGCTACCGTCTCCGTTAGGTGCTTCACCACTCCATTCAGCTTCCGCGGTTTCAGCTGCATCAAAACAGCTGGCAAAATTTAAATCACCCTTCAATTTGCATGCAGAAAAATAAAAAAAAATATATCGGAAATATTTTGGAAAAAAAAAATTAAAAAAAATTGATTTACTTCGCCATCCCAGAGTCCCAGCGTTTTGAGAGCATCACCTAAACCGTCAGTTGATTTATCAATAGCAGTTTTTACGCTGAGTCCTTTATTTGTTAAACGGAGGAATCCATCAGCAACCTGATGTGCAGCCCATAACTTTGCACCGCTGCTAACTAACCATACTTCTTTAGTATCACAGACCACAAAACTAAATTTTGCAYTGTCGGACCCATGGTTAGCTACCAAATTACCAATGCGTTCCACTGCGTCAAYAGCGGTTTTAGCGATAGCCAAAGTCAAACTATAAATTTATGTAGAAGTACAAGAAAATATTTATAAAAATATATAAAAAATATATTATTGATAAAATAACTCACCGTACAATATCGGTAGACCTAAGGGTATCACTATCGTTAGCTGGCTCCTCCGCGGACCAGGAAACAGCAATGCAAACGTTATGGTCGTTTGCGCCCACGTCACCACCCCAAATGCCGGTTTGAGTCTTTTGCAATATCATACGTAATATTTCACCATTCGCTTTAACCACATCTGCACCACCATCRGGCTAAGCAAATCGAAGGATGTGAAAAATGAAAATGCCACGTCATAGTATAGTGATCAAATTCACCAAAGATTACTCATCCAAGCAATCTTCAGTTAGATACAGACAATAGACGACATCCGCTTACCTTCCCCTCAAGTGCGTCATTGGCGTTGTAATATTGAACCTCTTGTGCTTCTGTCAGAGCATCGGCATCTAAAGCATTTCTACCGAATATTATAGTATTTTTAGCTGTATTRGGAGATTGTACGATAAAACAATCACCAATTGCAGACATATCGAAAATTTTACACAATTCCAAAAGCAAAGCAAGTTATCAACTTTCAATTGATTTTTCGCACTGGCTATTCTTGCCAAGTATTTCTTTGATTTCAATTATAGATATTATAAAATCTTTGAAAAATAATGGCACTCACACGAATGATGGCCAATTTACAATTATTTGATAAAATTTTCTAAATTTTACCTTAGTTTTTAATATACTGCAATAATATTGGCAAATTAGAAAATTTTCAATGGTGTGCAAATACCGGCCACGGGTGGAATGTGAAAGTGATGAGACATGTGTTACCAACTCCTTTTAAGAAATAAAAACAAAGAATATGCCTGAAAATGTCATTGTAAAATATCTTTGTAAAGCGTGGCATCACTTTTTCAGTTTCTCTTGTTCTGCTTCATTATGATAGAAAAGATGGTGTAGTGATCGCTTAAAAAACAATATATTTTGCTAAAAATCTACACTTTAAGTGTAGAAAAAGTTTTCGACGTATAATTTAAGTGCTACGATTTTCGAATTTTATAAAAAGTGTAAAGATTTTCTACTCTTTGAATCCCAAATAGTGTCTTAAATATTTATGCATTCGCGACGTATCTATCAACGAGGTGTGTTCAGTGTTGGCGCGTGTAAAATTTTTCTGCGGGAAAGGCCGTGTGGGATACGGACATTATTGCCATCCCTTTTGCTCATTTCGTTGGTCCAATCAGAAAATGTGTGGTTGAAAGAGCGTGCCAGGTTAATTATTTGAACGAATAATAGCTAAAGCAAAAGGATAAATGTTTGAGAAGGGGAAACCGAAATGTGTGTGTAAGTAAATACTGAGATGGTAATGTAGTTCTTGTTTTTGTGGGCATTTCTAGTSGCTATTGTTGGAATATGTTTTCGCATTCGTTTTGTGGTATTCGTCCGTCATGTAGTTGGTTGGTTTTTGCTGAATAGTTCATTGAAAAATTTAGTTCAAAGACAAAATAAAAAGAATTATAAGAAGCTTTTGTCAATAATTAACGCAAAATTATATATTATACAATGTCTGTGGTTCAGAAAATGCGTTTATATCTGATGTGTACAAGTGGAGAAAAACATAAATTGAATTGTAACAAAACGCACTGAGGAGCAGAAAATCAATATTATCCCTCAAATAGAATAGAAAAATTTGCTGCATAATTTCTGTTACCCAAAGGGCGCAGCACGATTGTCAAAAATACTTTCGGTTGTGATAATGAAAATATAAATTAAGAAAAAATGTGGTGCAATATTTAGAAAATGTTTGTGTTCAACAATAATAATAGCAAATTTATAAGGACTATTGAAAATAACATTGCGCCAATGTTATTTCAGTGCTCTGTTGGATTTTAATGGYTTTTGATACATGTAAGCACTTGCTGTGGCCGGTACATAACTTGATTGGCCTAAATAGAAACGTGTTCACTTGCTAAAACAGTTTAAACAAAAGACTACAGGTGCCAAACAACTGAAGGATGTTTAAGTAATTTTTAAATATGTCTTCATTTAATACTTTAAGAAAAATCAATACTTGGTTCTCATTAAAATTCGGGCTCTATTCGAATTTGTGTGTGTACATACATACTCGTATCTTTTGTGTATACTTTGCTAGCAAATATGTACTTGGTTTATTTGACAACCCAAAAAGTTTGTACGTGCGTACAACATTTGGATGCCTCTCTTCCCAGAGTCTAAAACTTCATATGCATTCATCCCGGTAAACTGGATCCCTGCATTAAATATGGAACACTTCCACCTTCAAACCCTTAAAACCACCCCCAGTGGCACCAATTTAGAACGTTCAACGTTTAGAAAAATCTCTTGATTTTGGTTTATGTATATATTTTGTATTCAATATGGTACTTAATTAAAAAGTAGGGAAATGCATACTTGTATAATATTAAATAATAAAGCTTACTATAATATATTTTTATGATGGGGGTATATSCATTTGATATATCAAACAGTTGTCCCAGTTTACAGTAATGTTTAAATCGGTTTTAAGTGTAGTGTATTAAAATTTTTTGTAAAAATAGTTTGCTGCTGCAATACAAAGTGTATGGAAATGTTAACATCTCACTGGGTGTAGGGTACATACATATGTATGTATTTTTGCTTGTAAACATCCTTACGCATGTACTCACACCCACCCTGTAACAAACTACAACCAACCCAGATTTATGACCTAAATTCCTCAATTCCCTCGCTGTTATTCCATTTGCAACCCACTATTTTGTATGTACCTATGTATATGAATTTAAATGTTGATGCTGCAATTGCTATGTTTTATATCTAGTAACCCCATCTTTCTCTTTTGAAAATAAGGAAGCTGTTTTAAAATTTGTTCATGTGAAAATATGCGGTTGTTCCGTAACTTATAATTTTTACAAAAATATTTTTCAAACTCAATTACTACCTACTCAGACCTTCCCTAATGTTTTTCAGAACTCATCATGTTTGTAATATTTGAATTTTCTTAAACTCCATTAAGTTTCCTGTACTTTCACAGACTGAATATGTGTTGTTGGCTACTATTATTGTAACTGCATTATTGTTACTGATTCTTCACTTTAAAATTACTTAAAAAAAAAAATATTGAAATTCTTTCAGATATAGTACCTTGTTATCTGTTGCATTTCTAAAAATCGAARCATTCATACAAAGTTAGTCAGTAATGTAAATTTTTTGAATTTTTCTTATAGACAAACTATATTTTATCTTTAAAAAATGTTGGAGCAATAAGAGCGCTGGCCCAATTTATGTACAATAACAGCGCATCATTTGTAAACAAAAATATTTGAGATATAATCACACCTTATCACCCAGCATTGCTGCCATTTATATGTATTATGAATTCATTTGTTGTGTTGAGAGAATTTTTGGCTGTCAAAATTTTCTTCGTGATTTCGTAAAGTTCGTTCACCTCTTTATTCATACACATTCTTTCACTACTTCACGCGTTTGCTGTTGTTGTTGGTAATGTTGGGAGTATACATTGTTGTTTTGTTGTTGTTTTTTTTAAGTTTTTCACCTTGCTAACTCCTATTAAAGCAATGTATACGTAATTTATCCAGCCATTCCATGTTTTCTGATTCTTTCGATGTGGTTGTTGTTGTTGTAGCGAGAAAACATTCCTGCAGTAATTTCAGGTCATGCTGCCGAGTTGACAGTCCTTCATCGGATAAAAAACTGTAGATGTAGTGTTGTTGCAGTGGCAGAATTCTGCCGAGTTGGCAGTYCTTGGCCGGATAAAAATCCGGATCCGTTYCGGTTACGTAGACCCGACCGTCGTGGGAACGGACTGTAGATTTGGTCATTGTGTTGGGTTCTAAACCTTTACTTTTGGCCTTGAATGATGATTAAAGTACATAAATTTGAAGTAGTATATGTACATATGTGGATAAAATTTAGCTGAAAATTTCGTGATATGTGAAAGCTTTTAAGACTGAGAATAAACAATTCCGGTTATATGAAAGTAAATTAATTGTATTGATCATAAAATAATCACGTTTTTATAGCTATATTACAACCTCTTTACAATCGTATTCAAATTATTTATAGAACTTGTTGCTTATGCTGCCTTAGTGGCTGTCGGCCCAATTCACCTTGACATTGATATTGCGAATTCATCCGCTTCGTCGCCACTACCATCGCCAGCTGTTTCTCCCGCCAACGCATTGTTGCTCACATTCGCAGAATTTTGCCATTCGTTTGCTTTTGTTATTATGTACATTTAAGTGAATGAAAATATATAAATAAATATACCGAAACTGGTCGTGAACGCATTTTACAGTGACGTCTGAAATCAAAACAAACTACGAACACAATGTTAATGTTGTTGTTGCTTAAAATTGGTATATTTATGAATAAACAGTGGCAACGGTAAAATTTTTARGTTGTGTATTTCGTAACGTTGTCAAATTTTGTTGACAATGTCAAAAGATAAGAAAGTTAACTTGATGGAAACCAACTATAATACCATTCATAAATAAAAAAGTTTCCACATAAAGACTCAATTTTTATCGACATACATACAAATATGCTATATAGTACTGAGCAATTTCTTGGTTAGAAAATGGCGTGTGCAGATTTTCAGATCGATATCTCAAAACCTGAGGAACTAGATCGCATACATACASACGGACGGACAGAAGGATGAGGCCAAATCGATGTCACAAACTTCGTGCAAATTTATTATATTTTGTTCAGTGTAAAATTATTGCTATGAATAATAATGACAACGTACAGTTTAAAAATTGCTTTTTCTCAATTATGCGTTGTTTATRTAAAAGTTGTAACTATAATGTAGTATTAGTGATATAATTTTAGTTTTTTTTTATTAAAATGTCTAATTAAACTATACTTATTTTTCTTCTGTCATTACTAGCGAATTCGGTTACTGTTGCATTATCTCTTAAATGCATCGCTAAAGCGTTATAGTGGAAGAGGCAATTCTTCGGAGAAGTGTCAAAACTGCACACCAAACGACTTATTTATTTTGTAAATTTCTATACGAGTTTTAACTGTTATGAGGTACACAGGCTAACCTACAATAATTGATTTGTCATCATTGTTGGTTGCGGTGAAGTACGGGTGAGCGCTTGCATAAATCGTAACTAACCAGTATGAAGGAGATGGTCGGCGGATGTTGTGTTTGTTCGGATGAGCGTGGATGGCCCGAAAATCCGCTCGTCTATTGTGATGGTCAGAATTGTACTGTTGCCGTGCATCAAGCTTGTTATGGAATTGTAACTGTCCCAACGGGACCATGGTATTGTCGAAAATGCGAATCTCAAGAACGTTCAGCTCGTGTGCGTTGTGAATTATGTCCATCACGTGATGGAGCACTTAAGAAAACCGATAATCAAGGATGGGCCCATGTGGTATGCGCCCTATATATACCGGAGGTACGTTTCGGAAATGTCACCACAATGGAACCAATTATTTTGCAGTTGATTCCACAGGAGCGTTATGCAAAAAGTAAGTTTTAATTTTATTACCCGAACAAAATTATATTAATAATCTAACAAAAATTTCTTTTTTTTTACTTCAGCTTGTTATATTTGCCAGGAGTCAGGCAAACCCAATCGCGCCACCGTCGGTGCCTGCATGCAGTGCAATAAATCGAATTGTAAACAGCAATTTCATGTGACATGCGCACAAAGCTTAGGCTTATTGTGCGAGGAGGCTGGCAACTACTTGGACAATGTCAAATATTGTGGCTATTGCCAACACCATTACGGAAAATTGGTTAGCTGAATGTTCAAAAAATTTCTTTTTAGASAATTTTCAAGTTAATATTATTTATTTCATTTTACAGAAGAAGGGTGGCAATGTGAAGACCATACCGCCCTATAAACCCATTACACACGATACGTCGTCTGACTCGAGTTTGTCACCCGAAAARGAGCTCGATTCCGGTATGAATGCGACTGCCTCATCAACTTCGGCGACAAGCATCAAAATTACTACTAATATAAATGCTGCGTCAACYACGAAACAACGTAAATCATCCACCGCCTCCAAACAATCAAACTCATCATCCTCGTCATCTAATGCTGCCGCAGCTACTGTCTCTTCCAGCGGATTTGCTAGCAGCTTACATGGAAGCAATTTCTCTAATTCCAACACTGGGTCTGGTAATATTAATCTAGGGAGCGTAGGTGTTGGTTCAAGTGGTTCTAATAACAGTGGCAACTTATCAGCCAATAACTCGTCCATTGGTAGTGGTAATTCGATGAGTGGAGGAGCGAGCGCAAGTTCCACAACAAATCTGAAAAATTCTTCGAACAGTTCGAGCAGCTATAAAGAAAAGGATAAACATAGTAAAAATGTCAATAAAACATCAAGTTCAAGCAAAGAGAAAGACGGCTCATCATCGTCGTCTTCATCGCGCGATTCCCGTGAGAAATCATCCAAATCGTCGAAAAACAAAGAATTCTCCAATAATAATCCAATGAGTGGTGCATCCATGAACAATTCAAGTACCACATCAACTAGTACAGCGCTTAATATGAGTAGTTCCATGCATGAAAGCCACAGTCATGGTGGCAACCTGTCCACTCAAAGTGCAGCACAAAATCTTACAACTACATCGGCAGCCGTGAGCATGAGCGCTAGTGGCAATTCAAATAGTAGCAACAGTGGCAGCAAAGAGGCAGCCAAGTCGTCTAGTACTTCGAACACAGTTGGAAACAGTGGTTTTGGGGGCAATAACAACGCGACGGACCTGCATACCAGCAGCACTGATAACAATAACTTTGGCGGCGGCACGCATATGGACACTGCCACAAGTGTGGGTAGTATAAACGTGAACTCTGCAAATGGTGGTGGCGGTATGACAGGTGCTGGTAGTAAAAGCTCAGGTAGTTCAGTAGCGAAGAAGCGAAAAGCCGATTCAAAATCAAATAATARCCTTGGAGACGACATAAATAGGTGCGTAACGAAAGTGTTAATGAAAATGCACATTTTTATACGAATTTCTTGTTTCTAATTTCAGCCCATTTAGAGATATGATTAAAGACGTCAGTGTTACGTTAACGCCATTAACGGATTTTGAAAAGGAAATCGAAAAGAGTGCGAAAAAGGTAAGCCTCTGAATTAAATTTAGAAGTTCTATGTATAAGTAGTTGAATCATTAAAAAGTTCATAAATCTTTGAAAGAATTATGCAAAGCTCCAAATAGTAATGTCAATCGATAAATTAAAAAATATGAATTAATTCAAATTCTCAAATTTAAAAAAAGAAAAAAAACAAAAAGATTTTGACATTGCTTGTGAAAACGCGTGTTGTTGAAACTTACAAAACTACCATACATACGTTGTGCTTAAGATAAAACAGGAAAATAGTATTTTAGAGTTCATACTTAAGCTATGCTTAAGTACTGAAAATGGGTGACTTCAGCAGCGCTTAAGTAGCAGCTGATTTTTGATTTGAATTGTTTTGAGTTTTCAGCGACATTTTTCGTAGCGTTCGAGCAAGTCAAGTGTCTGTCCGCTTGCATTCGATGACAGCTTTATACTTTTCCACCAGTTCCAATAGGTGCTCCGACTCGCTAGCGATGAAATTCGGAGTTCTTTTGTTGTTTTCATCCATTTTCGATATAATTTTCCACGCAAATTTAAGTATTGTCTGGTATAATTTAAATATTTCAAACATATTTTTATGGATGACATTTGCCAAACATATGTTGCCCATAACGTTGCCATATATCATAATAAAATTGTATATAAACAAGAAAAAACGTTAACTTCGGTTGCACCGAAGCTAATATACCCTTCACAGGTGCATTTCTTTTAGTAACTATGTGTTCAGTTTGTTTGGAAGCTAAATGTTATAGTAATCCGATCTGAAAATTTTTTTGGGAGATTATATTATTAAGCAGTAATCCATGTAAAATTTCGGCAGCCATATGCTATTGCGATCCGATCTGAACAATTTCTTCCGATATTACATTATTTCTATGAACAATAACTCATACCAAATTTCGTGAAGATACCACGTCAAATGAGGAAGTTTCCCATGCAAGCATTTGATTCCKATCATTCAGTTTKTATGACAGCTATATGCTCTAGTAAGCCAATCTGAACAATTTCTTCGRAGAYTACATTGTTRTCTTAGGAAATAATATATACCCAATTTCGTGAATTTATCTTGTCAAACGCAAMAGTTTTCCATACCAGCAATARATTCCGATCGATCAGATTGTATAACAGCTATATRCTACAGTAAGCCGATCTGTACAATTTCTTCGAAGATTACATTGTTGTCTTAGGAAATAATATATACCCAATTTCGTGAATTTATCTTGTCAAACGCAA